ATATTGTCATAAATATACTACATACTTTTCTTTATTAGTGCTTTGATCCATCTTAGCATGTAAACATGATAATTAACCGGCAGGATACACGCATCTCTTCTTATCAAAGATCTGTACTCTCCCATGCACGTTCCTGCTTAGACTTGCCTGCAGGAGGAGCCGGAGGCTGTGGACGTGGAGGACGACCGGGATGTCTGGGGGAACCTGGTAGATTGCCACTGCCCTGTGGTGAAGTCAGAGGTGCCTGTGGCCTTATGGCTAAAAACAGTAAATACTGAACAGCATGATACAAGTATCTCAATGTGAACGTATCCAGAAGACACTAAAAGTAATTGTAATGGCAATCACAACATTAACATCCACTAACTACTTCAAGCACGCTTTTTGAACACTAATCTCTGACATCTCTCCTTATCGCCCTCAAAGTGGAAGGCTGGTTTCTACTAGACAATGTCTAGTAACCACTGTCTAAAAGTGCCTCCTGTGGAAAAAGGATCCCTCCTTTCGTCGATCTCCTGAAATCTCTCCCTTTCCTCTGAACATATTTTTATTCTTACCCTTGTCATAGCTCCACTCTAGTATCCATTCACATAATTCCAACAATTGGGCTGAAGGCATTAAAATGTCAACAATTATTTCTTTAATCTTCAGTCCCCAGGTTTAAAGTTCTTATCAATACCTTTTCCCCATCTTTCCAAAAATTGTGATTTCTGTAAGAAACATTTATAAATATTACCTGACTGATCTGTGTCGATGTTGAAAATGTTCCCTTCTGACATGGTCCGGGAATGACTAGACTGGTGCTTCCCTCTTTCAATACAGGCCTTTGCATTTTCAGGGTTCGGAGGTCGCTCTGGCTTTTCAAGGCATTGTCCTTTGTCTGGAAATCAATACAAAATGCTGTGATATTCACAACATGGTTAATTAAGAAATAAATTTTAATGCTTAAAGTCAACAACGTATTCATTACATAGTAAACAGCTGCAATGAAAAGATGACTTGATATAAAGGAACCATGAAAAATTTGTCCTAATAATAAATATCCTATCCAATATCAAAACCAGGCACCTGAACTAGGAATTGCTACGAATTTCATATGAAAGCATGTGTTAAGTTTGTCAGCGCAAAGTAACATTTCTGAAGTATAGTTATGTGGTACTTCTAACAATGAACTATCTTTCTAGTTCAAATCTTCTCCTAATGGATTAACTATAAATACTGTATGCCTAGTGACAATGATCTGATATTTTAGGAAAATCAGATCATTCAATAAGTACAAAACATGCTCAGCCATAAGGAAAATGAAATGGTGATAAAATTGCCAGTCCAATGCTACTTCATACAAGCTAATGAAAATATACTGAATACAACTTTTAAAAGTGGCACACACACAAAACAGCCTGACAAAGTTGCCTATTACTGCATACCATATTTACCAAACTATAAGACGAGTCTTTTTCTATTTGTAATAACAAATACATAATTTTATATTAGCTAATGAAGAAAAATATGTACAAAAAACAAATGTAATTCAACTTCAAACTCCATACACTCCATAGCAACCTATAAATATTTCAAAAGCAGTAATTGTTAGACCAACTTTTCATCACATATTCACATGAAATTTATCCAGGTCTACATTTCTGGAGCCACAGCTTTCTTCTGAGGCATACTGTACTGGAGAACTACGCCCAAGAATTTTATAAGTACTGCAATAAAATTAGTTTTCTGAAAATTTCCACCTTGAATAGCGGATGTTCTATATCTGAAGTTGTTCCGTAATCAGGTAATTATGGTACATGAAATAGGAACATAAAAGCCAGTGTTAATAAATGGTACTTCTGCCATTGTGTTACATAGACTTCGTGTTAATTGCGTTGTATGGTGCTCTGAGCTGCTGTACAACATGCGCCAGCACAGCTGTTAGTTGTGATACAGAGGACATGCAATGAGAACACACACACAGTTGAGTGAAGGGGCTACATTACCTGAGAGGGACACAGAGAGGGGATGACTCCCTATGGAAGGGCTCCTCTGAAACACAGGCTCATTATTGTTATTGTTGATAGGAACTGCGACCGTCTTCTCCTTCTCTCCCCCAACTTGAATAATTGACACCTGCTGTTTGTCTACAGAGTATATGTGGGTGCGTTCCAGCATGGGACGCTCGGACTGCAACCGAGCATACAAACATCATGATTACTTTACGGGAGGGGTCCTCCACCTTTCCTAGACCTAGGGTCATATTCACCCTTGCTTATTGACTTGTGGGCCACAAGATTATAATACTAAAACTTCATGGTAATTTATTGAAAATTCTACCAGCTTGCTATTACAAACATGTCCACATATTCCTCAATAATTTTCTTTAACAAAATCAGTCATTAGTGGCAGATTTAACATTGCTTTAGTTAAAGTAAACTTTCATTTTAAGGTTTAATTTCTGCTGTTGCAATTCACAGTACGGCACGTCCCAGTTCTTGATATGACATTCATTAAGCTGCACGGCTACTCAAAGCAACAGGTATGGCCAAATATTGATGACAAAAACATAAACACATTTTCCGATAACAGGTAACAATTTTTCATTATACAGAGTGACAGAATATTACAAAAAATGGACACAACCTAACATGCAAACTGAAAGCAAGAATTTTGACTCACTTGAATTATTTCTGAGGTACGTGTTAACATTCATGTTATCAAACTTGCATTTCACTTTACATATGGACTTGAACCTCAAACTTTATCTTACTTGTGAAAATGATTAAAATAGAATCTAAATAAAATGTATAGCACATAAGAAACTGAAAGTCCATTTTAGCCATGAATGGCTCAATCAGTTCAAAGAGATTTTTTAAATAAAATGTTTCTCTCTCAAAAGCATCAAACAACAGGTTTTAAAAATCCACAGGGGACACTTTCTGGACTGCTTAAAATGAGCTGTGTCCTGCAAAGTGAATGTGTGTTCTCTTGGGAAACCAAAATTTCAAATGAAAGCATGTCTGAACTGCCAACTTAAAACAAACGCATATAAAATACTACTCTGCATACTGAACTGGTATTAAAAATCATATGTGCATTATACTTGAGAAGACAGCCCAGAAAAGGGATTGGTGAAGGAGTGCTCTTGGAATGTAAGGCACAGTCTGCAAACAAGTAACTGCAGCAAACACACAACCTTCAGAAAGAGCAAGCTGTTTAGTTCAACACCAATTGCAACCACTGCATCTAAACCCAAAGCAAGTGCTTGTAAACTTTGGTTAGAATACATTAAGGTGACTCAGACGATAATTTCAAGGTAAAACCAAATTTTCCAATATGAAATATAAGTGTCATATTTAAAAAAATTTAACAAAGCCATAATTCTTGTAATTAAGGTTCAAAATACATCAACACCCTCTCCACACAAGGAGGGGGGGGGGGACATGTATGTATGCACGTTACTATCACTGTGTTTCTGAAATTTGTCAACCATATAGTATTTCATCCACAAGTAAAAATATGGGTAAAACCTGAAGCACCTACGCACGGCTTCTTTTTTATGAATTTAAATGAGTAGATATTTGCCATCTTCCTCATTTGAGGATAGAAACAGATCCAGATGTGGTGTTCTTTTTGGAATACTAGATCATGAACAAAGTCCAGAAACCTAGGTATACTAACAGTGCTATAACATTGCCAGAACCCTTTTCAAAGATAAAAATGCTGATGGACAACACTTCCTGTTTAATTTTCAGCTCCAGAGTATAATATACTGGAACTGCATAAAGAGTGCATACACCATAACCTGCTTAGGTACTTGTGGGTTATCGGGACACAAAACGGGGAAGTCAAATATCTGGAGTTGGATTGGCACGGAAAACTGCGCATGCGTATCAGTATACCCGTATACTCAGTTGTTGTCTCTTAGTTCGTTCAGTTATTTATTGCAGTTTTTGGCCTCCGAAGACAGATAGTAACGACTATTAACATCTCATGTGTATCCAAATAAAATATAATAATTTATCATTTATTGAAATAAAATATAATAACTTTCAAGTATATGTCATTTATCCACACACATTAACCTAACCTAACCTATTTTTAAAGCGAAGTGTCCCGATAACAAACAAGTACCCCTACTTAATTCCTAAACGCCAACTAACTTTTTGTTATCAAATTATCTGTGTGCACACTCATGAGCCACCTTAAAAAGCTAAATAATGTTAGAAGCACAGTGCGAACTACATCAACCAGTATCCACATAAAACTATCAAATGAAAACATAAAACTATACTCACGTCTGTATTAGGTTTATCACCAGAAGAACAATCTGAATCAGCAGAGTGTCTTGAACCGCGGAATGAACTATGAGGTCGAAGGAGAGTAGCCGGTCTTTCAGGCACGGCTGGGTTATTTGAACGTTCTCCACCGTCCGACAGTAAAGGTCTCCTTAGCATTACAGCGTCATGCTCTCCTGCAATTTCTACATCCTTTGTAGACTCACAGCCTGACAATACACTTTCAGAAGTTTTATTTTCGGAAGACCGATTCTGAACTTCTTTGTTAATAACAGCAACGTTGCTAGCATTAATATTCACTGTGTTTCTAGGGGCAGCAACAGGAATTGGTCGTTGCGGGTGCTTTCTTTCTAGAGTGGTACAGCCACTTGTGGATGACTGTACTACATTCTTCTGCTGGACACTTTCTGTCATACTCAACAGCTTACTGGCACAACTAGATGTTACGGTTACAGAAGTAGCTTCAGTGTCGGTGGTGGGTGGAAGTGTCTGTGACTGCTCTGTTGAAGGAAAAGATTCGCTTCCTTCACCACATTTTTCAGAATCTACACACAATTTCTCTCCTCCTCCACTGCTGACTTTTCGATGCATAGACGATATCATGCAATTCTGCTGAGGTTCCAAACCATCTGTACTTTGTTTTCTAATGCCTGAAGAAATATTATCACTGGATTTCTGATGTTTTTCTGTAGTCACAGCTGGTATATTTTCAACAGTACCTGAATCTGCTGTTCTCACATCATGTTCTCCAGAGTGTTTCTTATTGGGTCGAGGAAGTGTCGATGGCAGTGGGCCTACAGCTGGACGAGGAGGCTTCTCGGGTTTTTCAGGAGTGAAGCCTGGTGATGGTGGTAGATCCTTTGGTGATGCACCACTGGAAGGTGGAACAGGGGCTGGCTTGTTCTTCCTGCGGGCAGCTGGTTTAGGACTGCCATGTGGAGGACTGAAAAACAGAAAATTTAAAATTAGCATCACTTTACTCAAATGACGACAACGAAAAAGAAACTGGTATTTTAAGGAAATCGACTGATTAAGGAAGTAAAAACACTAAAACTAATTAAGAGGAAAATGAGATGACAAAATAACTACTTGCTTACCTCTGCTAACCACTTGATCATGACTGTTTGGTAATACTGTTGCTGATGATAGTGACAATACACTGAACAAAAGCATAGCATATGTTTTCTCTGTATTTTTGTTTAAACATATATTACATGTTACAAAGATATGCAACATATCTTGATGACATATGGCCATACAATATTAAATATCACGAGTTCTGTTCTCTGTCGAGCAAATACATCAATAAACCAATACTGCACCTGCTGTGATCTGAAAGACTACTATTTGACTGTGTTCTTTTCATAACGCCAGGTTCACCAAGACTGATCAGCTGACCATCACTACTACTCCCCCTGGTATGACCACTAGTTGCCACTTTCTCCACAGGCGAGCCACCAGTCCATTCGTGAGGCTGAAGCCCACTAACTGACCCAGTACTTGAGGTCATTCCATTTATTAAAGTTGTTTCATGAGGAAAGGTTTGAAAGAACTCAATGTCTGCAAACAACAAACCGTATATTGTACTATTTATATAACTCAGTTAACCCTTAAGCACTTCCGTGTGAACGGGTTCGCGTGTCGTAGTTAGCGCTGTTTGAAATGTAACTCTGTTTATTACAATACAGCCAAAAAATAAACATAGTTCAGACTATTCTCAGAAGATGGCTAAAGCTTATAAATGTAAATCTGTTTATTACAATACAGGCAAAAAATAAACATAGTTCAAACTATTCTCAGAAGATGGCTAAAGCTTACAGAAATTTACAAAATGTATAAAGTAAATATAATCCTAACAGTCACAAAGCATGAATCTTGACCACTTGACCAGAGCAAGAAACGCCAACTCATACTAAATCAAATATACTCGATCACCACAGCAAAGAGGATAATACTCGTGTCGTGACACTACGTACTTTCGTAGGTGGTTACCATATACTGCACAATACATGACATCAGAACAGACAAGACCACAATCAATAAAAGGAACGTGGTTTCTCATTTAATCCGTCTCTATACTCCAGTTCCTCTTTCAAATAATCCATATTTCAACCACAACATAACACAGTTTACACTTACCCCCAGGGAAAAACCAGTCTGCATTATTCACCAAACTATCTACAATAGAACTGTATGTGTTTGCTGAACTCATGTTCATCCTGAAAACAGAATGCGACTTAAAACATGTAAGATTAAAAAACACAAATATTACCTTCCATTAACATCAAAAAAACAATCAACTGTTTCTTCTGAAAGAATGTAAATGCACCACACCCATAAATGTTTATAGTGTTAGAAATACAAACAAATATTCTCAACAAACATTGGCAGTCAAGCTGTTAGCACACATGCTTCATATTTTCAAGGTCCTGATTTCAAAGCTTAGCCCCAAGATAGCCTATTCTGATCAAGATGATTCATGGTTTTCCTCAGTCCTTCCTAGCAAGTGCCAGAACGTAAGTAAAGCGTCCCACTAACGCCATGTAGGCGCATTGGGGGAGTGGAGGTATATCTCCTACTCTTTCTTGAGGGTGGGTGGTCAGCAGCACGCCCCGGCCGGCTTTACCCCCGGGATATGACCCCCAGTACCCATTGGATAGGAGGCTGGGTGGGCCCCAGAGCCGGTCTGGATGCAGAGGCTAGAGGAAAAATCCTCTGCCCCCGTCGGGGATCGAACCCAGAACAGCACCTTAAATTAGGCCACAACTGCTTCCTTCCACATCCTTTCTGACCTATTATTCATCCCATGATTCAACATTGTAGTGTGAGCTACTGACACCATTATTATATAAACCACAAATAAATTAAAAAAATCCCTTTACAGTAATAAAAACATCCACATTTACTTCAACAGCAGAGAGCTCAAGTGAGGAAAAAATGTACTTGTGACAGAACACATAGTTATCATGTTAGCATCAAATATTCAGAGTTATTGCAACCATTACACATGCTCCCTAATAGAAGTCTGGGGGGAAGTACATGCACTATTCTCACCCCATTGTAGTGGTCTCATCAGCTTGGCTCCAGATCAGATTTGGTGCAATGACAATAGCAATGTTCTGAGGTGTCATTTTATTCACTTCTTGGTTACGAGACAGTGCAGACAGAAACTTTATCAGATACCGCAAATTGTCAAAATTTGCTTGTGGCAATTTATCAATGACCTGTTTCAGTGCGTGATGACGAGCTTCATTTGACGATTGAATTCTAAAAATAAACCAGAAAATTCTATTTGTAAACATTTTAAAAATAAGCATAATTTACCAGCAGGGATAGTAACTGCATCCCCTTAAAGCTCTGCTTATAACATCCCCAGGAATAATTAATATTTAAATTACAATACATTCTCACTGCAATGCAAATCAGATTATAAATCTGTCATAATCTTTACAGATACCATGATTCAAAATACTCTTCCTTGTTCAATTTATTTACTGTGAGAAAAAGTATGACAATATATTAAAATGGTAGGATTTGAGGTATTCACAGAGGTGAGTCTGAAGATGGCTGTCTTAAATAAATTAAAATTCATACACATTCTGAAAAAAAATTTGCTAAAATAGTGAGAGAGACAAAACAAAATGAGTGTACTTATCACACAATGTCACATATTCATGACTTTTGGATTTAAATTATGCCAAATGTTGATAAATATACTGTGAAGAGTGTTTAAAAGACAAGAAAGTAGTACTTAAAATCACTTGGCTAATGCACCCACTAAGTCTAGCACACTCTTCCTGAATTAACCTGTATATGATTCAACAGAATGTATGGCAGTGACTGAATAAATAATCTTACTCTTAAGTGATAGATAATTAGGTTATATAATAAGTTTGTTCAGCTGCCCTCCTCATCCTAGCAGCAACAGCACACAGCAAACTGTTTACGTCCATCTAGAATTGAGGCCTAAATGTGTGGAGCTTTATCTCCATCCTCCCTAAGAGCCTACACAGCACCGTGATGAGGCCCAGACGAATTTTATGCTCATTTACTCCTCGTATCCTCAGCAATCTCTCAAAAACTTTCCAACCGCAATTCTGTACGTTTCCCCAGGCCTGCTATTTCATCTTCCCATCTCACTCTTCTTAATTTAAGCAACCTAATAATATCAGGTAAATTACAAATCATTAAGCTCCTCATTTTGTAATTTTCATCATCCTCCCACTAATTTATCTTCTCTAGACAGTCTCCATCATTCAAATTCAAACTATTACATGTTTCTTTCATCTGACACGTCACTCACTACCTTGCGGCTGCCATCCATTCTTCGTATAGCGTATATGTCATCAGAGGCTCTGGCAGATCCCTCAGATAAGACTTGAGGGCACCAGCAATTACATGAGGATCCCGATACTCAATAACAGTTGGCAAGGTTAGGCAACAAGCATCAAAACTCATCTTCAAACGGCGCAGTTTGGAAGCCCCTGCAACATATAAAAAGTAAAAACCACACCAATAGAAGATAAATTTATACCAGTTATTCAGTTGGCCATACAAATTTTTAAAAAAGTTCAGAATCATACACAAAATTTTAAATTTTAATTAACAGTTTTGGTTTTCCTGCAAAGATTCAAATGAGGGAGACACTGTGAATGTGAATCATTCATATTATTATACACTTACATTTGGTCGATGCTTTTTAAGTATTTAATTATTATAACACATTATATTTTGCACACTCATACATGCATTTATGCACTACATGGGCTTTAGGACAGTCTAAATAACAATATTCATAAAATTCAACAAAATATATGACGACCAGAAATTATAGATGCATGAACAAAAGTATTTTAAACAGAATTAAACAATTAAGAAAGTCTGAAACAATACATCAAACTCCGTTCTAAACTTCCAACTTTAAATTCAACTGACATGCACAATAACATTTTGAACAGTTGAAAATTCAAAAATATTCACACATGGACATATGCCAAGATATAAAAATATCGTAACAATACGCATGTCCTTGCCTCCAGCAACTCTGAACAGCCCTTCCTCCTCCATTCCTAGCTCCAACAAGGCACATACACAAAGCTCAATGGGAGATGCAACTTTTCTCCGAGTGACACGAAGATGTTCTTCCAATGGATATCCATAAACAGGTTTTGAAGGACTTTCATCTGTAAAAATCATGTTACAAATCATCTTATCATTCCCAAGTTTGCTGATAACGGTGCACAAGTGCTATTACAGTACTTTGTTAGGACATTATTCAAGGTCTGATGTATAAAAAACAAAAATTCAAATTACATTCTAGCCATAACCAAAAGATGACTTACTAATGGTCTTTTCAAGTTCTGGTATTGTTTCCTCCAGTATTCTTAGAGCACTCTCATGATAGGCCCTCTGAAGTTTGATGTACTGCACTACAGTCTGAGCGAGATCAGCCTCTTTCGATATTAGCTGGAACATCTCCGATGCCAGCATATCCTGCATCAATAGTTCTATTTCAAGACAGACTGCATTCATCCACACTTGTTTACAAACAATTTACATTAAGAAGATTTCCGTCTTCTGGGTTGTTGCGCTGTGTAGTCTGGTCGATGTTTACCAATCGCCCTGATGACGGAGGCAGTATGACCTCTGAATACATTAATTTTATATTTCCAATTCTACATGTGATGGAATGAGACAGGGAGAGGATATATCAATTGCAACAAAACTAATTCCTTACCCTACATTGTTCCACCTTCAGCTCAGCATCTTCCAGTTCTTCCTTGATGGTGTTTGTATTTGTACTACCATGCTTTAGTGCTGTCTGATATCTAAAAATATTCATAACATTAAAATTGTTTGTTATTAACATTAAAAAGAAGACAAAACCAATAAGGAACTGGGCAATGGTCACAAATAGCAAGTTAATTCTATGAAGTAACTCAAACATCTGTTAGTGAAAAGGAGTTACGTTCAAAATGTAATACAAGTCTTAAAACTTACAGTAGAAGTAGGAATGAACAATTTTAAGATATGACCCCAGCAAATGTGTGTGAAATTGAAGAAACAATACCCACTCCCCCCCAAAAAAGTTAGATCTACAATATTCAGCACAGAATTGGTCTTCCATCATTTGTTGGGTATATCTCTTTATCTCCTATCTTTTGGTATATACTGGTAAAATATTTCAACATATCTCCCATGCAATGAAACTGAATCACAACTATTTTGAAAATGATGTTAAACATGTTTAGTTCTTATTTAATTGCTCGGTTTTCAAAAAGTTTAGAAAATCCTGCAAGTCATTAGAAACCTCATTTCAACTGTTTAAATTTAGATCTCCTGTACTTTAGTTAGTATCCAGCATTCGTTTGTCTTGTTCAATTCAATCATCACAACACAACTTTGGCTCTTAGTCGTGACTTACGTTGGAATGCCATAGCCTTTATTCTTACACCATTTGTGTGTTAACAATAAATACCTAGTTCTTGCAGAATCCATATCCAGTGTGAATTTGCTAAGTTTAGCTTTGTGCTTAGGAACATCATTGTCCAACATCTGTTGTAATGGGGTAACGACTAACTGCTCCACCTGCATTTCGTGATCCAGTACTTCATTGGCCAAATTCATTTCTATTTTGGCACAATCTGATAAAATGTTGCTGGAAAGAATATTTTCAGATAAACCTTTACAGACATATATAGCCTACGGCATTTCTTTATAAACAGAGATGCAGTTCAAATAGCATCACTAAAAGGTTAATTTGTAAATAATTAATAAGCATGAGATAACATTAAAAAAGTTAATTAGGACTGTGCTACACACCTAAGAAGACATTCCTCTTCACATGATCCGCTGTCCTGCATAGCTATGCCTAATACATGTTCTGCATTCTTTTTCTGAAATATGGTATAAATAATCCATTAATTACTCTTTAATTAGAACAATGCAACCAAGTTAGAAAATGTATGAATATGAATACAGTATGAAGATTTCCGTCTTCTGAGTTGTTGCGCTGTGTAGTCTGGTCGATGTTAACCAACGTTTCAGAGGTCATACTGCCTTCATCATCAGGGCGATGAGTATGAAGATTTCTGTCTTCTGGGTTGTTGCGCTGTGTAGTCTGGTCGATGTTAACCAACGTTTCAGAGGTCATACTGCCTCCGTCATCAGGGCGATGAAGATTTCCGTCTTCTGGGTTGTTGCGCTGTGTAGTCTGGTCGATGTTAACCAACGTTTCAGAGGTGATACTGCCTCCATCATCGCCCTGATGACGGAGGCAGTATGACCTCTGAAACGTTGGTTAACATCGACCAGACTACACAGCGCAACAACCCAGAAGACGGAAATCTTCATACTCACCGCTGTGAGAACCTCAAGTCTTACATGAATACAGTAGCGTCATTTCTGGCATAAGTGGTCTGTCACTGCCGTTACAAACTTCATGAATTTGCAAACAGAGAGGTTCATACAACAATTATGAAATTTTAATTATACAAGCAGCTGACTGGTATACATGCATTAACAAAAACAGACTGCTACAAAACTGCCATTGCGACACAGTGCAATTCTTTTCAATGAATCATTACAAATTTGTTTTTAACAATCAGCAGTGAGCATTCTTTATGTTTGTGTCCAACCATGATGAGATACAGAACTAAACGATGCATGTTATTGTTGAAATATAGAGTAATGTATATTTTAATAAAAAGAGCACAATAAACACAACCAGTAACAGACTAAGGCTGACACATTCCTCCAAAATCCAGAATGCTTTACTAGAAAAGATAGAAGGTGGACTAAGATGTTTGACACAGAATTTGTTATGTTGGTATGAAAAGTGTCTTGACATTGGAAGACATAATTTTCAGTAGCTACTGTAATGCCAGGTACTGTTAGTAGAGTGGTTTTAATATTTTTAATATTTTTTTATTATTGGACAGAACCCTAAAGGCTGAATTATGATTTCCTGCTATGGTGAGGAAATACGTGACTCACATCCAAGCTAGTACAAACAGGAGTGGCATTTTATCTTAAGCCTCCATTTATCTTACAGGAACAAAACAAATAGCAGTAGGCTTGATAAAATGGGTAATGTGAATTAATTTATAACTTCATTTCCTTTATGTTGAAAAGTAGGCTTAAGAGAGCTATAGCAATTTTTCATAAAAATGTGACATGTACATATTCAGGCCAAACGGATTTGTCACAACTGAAATGAAAGTTGTAATACTGTACCACTGGATAACAAATGGATAAAGAAAAAAATGTTAAAAATATCCAAGATGTATGGGACAAATAAGCAAACTTTGTTTTAGCTTTACTCTTATAAACAAAGTTCATAATTTCTGCATTATTATCCAAATGCCAGCACCGTTTTAAAATAAATGTTCTCAAATCTATAACGAACACATTTTGCAAACTTAAGGTTATATTTGATTTTTCTATTAAAAACTGATTAACTTCCTAGGTGGCAATCAAGGACTGGAGATTAATTTGCCTCCAATTTTGTCTTATAACCTTCATAAATTATTTATAAAAAAACTATGTATTAGATTACCTGAACAAGGTGCCATGAAAGATCCAACAGATACTAAATAAATACAGGAACACAATGAACTACAAATCATGTTAAAACTAAGGCAAAATCAGTCAAAATTATTTTAAGCATAGTTCACATTTTCCTGGAAAAACAATAATAAACCTACAAAACCACTGATTACCTAGGGTTCAATCAAGGAGCCTCACCAATGCAAAATGAATATACAACTATTAACCCACAAATAAAATAGATACACAAGAAATCATGATTATCTTACCAGTCTCTTCTCTCTGGAAGCATCTTGACCTGAACACAAGGTACCCATTTTCTTTGACGTATTCCCACAAGCTCTGCTGATGTATTCAACTTTTCGGTCTGCCTCTTGTAGGTCATCTGACAGAACCTCAGTCTTCCCAGCCCTGAACACACAACCTTGAACTTAATTTTGTTATCACTGCCAAAATACCTGAAAGGCTGTAAGAGTTTAAGTTTCCACAATGATCCCCATACAATTTTCATTTATTTTCTTTGGGGCTGAATATGGAGTCTTATGTTACTGTGTGATGAATATTGATGATTGTTATGTTATGAAGTGTGGGTACGAACTAGTTTAATGTGAGTTTCCAAACTTAGTTAATAAAGAAATGTTCATTCAGTAATTACTTTTGCCCATTTATTGTTTTAATGTGGTTCCACAGCATTTACAGTTCCTACTAATAGAATTCGACAGTGTATGGCTCATGACACTGAATAATATTCAGCTTGTCTGCCACAATTTTCCATTCACCACATATTAATAAAACAATTATTGGGCCCTGTGAATTTTAAATATACTTAACACAAAAGTCAATGCCTAACACATCTTGATGCATCAATGAACCCACTATTATCACATACACTTAGAATACAAGCATTTTGCAATGTATGAACAGCCATGTAGAGAAATACACATAATGAACTGACCTGGAAAACCGTTGATCTGCTAGCTGCTTAACACGAAAGAATTGCTTCTTCATTTTGAGAGATGAGTTCTGCCACCAGTCACTGTCAACGTGTATTAAGGTGGGCATTAATTAATTTAACATCCATTGAATAACAACTTACAGGTTCATGTTTCATCAAATCGAAGCATTTCCTGAAAAACAAGGTGGAATATTTAATCTTCGTATTTTACCAATATCATGACAGTACAAAAATTATAATTCTAACAACCATCAATTGTAGGACAAAAATAAATCAATGATAATTGCTGCACAAAATGTATTGTGAATAGCAGCTGTGCCAGGGCCTCTTAAAAATAATGACGAAATGGTTTCCTGAGTGGAGCCTCCTTTAGTGCTTATAACAATAATTTGTTCAACAAGAAACACAGACTTCTTTCATAATAATCTTTATTGTTGAACCCAACAGGTTGCCAGCTTTTGAAAGGTTTTCAAATGAATGACATGGTCAACACCATGAATTTCAAGGATGGTAACAATGTTATGTCCATAGCAAGAATAGTAAATTATAACAGTAATATTTACTGCAGAACTAATAAAAATTATGGTACAGTTCTGGATATGTGAGAAACTAAATTGGCAAAGTAAGTGTAAAATACTAAACAAAGCCTTCACCTTCAGCAGGTGGAAATTCTGCTCTTCAATAGGAGAACATTCCACTGAAAGACGGCACATTCTATTTAACCACTTTTCAGTACAAGGTAATATGTAAATTTCTTCATAAATATACCAAGATAAATATGTAAGCATTTGATGAAAAAACAAAATTATACATTGAAAGCAAAACCTTTCATTCATATATAGGTTAAACAATGTTACTGTATGAACTGCTAACTACACCTATTAAATTATGTTTTCATCATATTTAATAATTAATACACACATAAATTCTCATATATATGTTAACTTTTGGATATATACATAGATATATATATATATATATATATATATATATATATATATATATATATATATATATATATATATATATATATATATATATATATATATATATATATATATATATATATATATACACACACACACATACATATGTGTGTCCTTATGTATGAATCCGTATTAAAGTTAAAACACTGTCACTACTTCCCCCAAGAACTCTGCCTACACTGGACATTATGTAAATTAAAAAGGGGGGTCTTTGCTAAGTTACCATCATTGACCATTAGGCTGACTGCAGAATAACCAATGTAGCAAGAGAACAGTCAATCCATCAACTGGCACTGTGCAGGCAAGGTTACAATAAAGTCTAATTTAAAAGGCACAAGCGAAGATTATATGCCCAGCCCATTACAGCAGGCATAATGGCCGAGTGATATCATCCTGAAAATAAGCGGAAAGTCATAAACTTGTATTTACCAAAATTCATATGTTTAAACAGATATAAAAACTTTATGAATTCCTGAGCTTCAAAACTGCAACAAAATTGTGCACAATTCCAGGGGTTAAATATATCACACGTACGAATATCACAAAATCACAAATTACTCTTCTTCCTACGTTTCTATATATGCACATCGACCGCACACACACATTCGATTGATCGAAGGGAGTCGACAAATTGGCCGTGAAGTCGACTGACTAACCCATGTTTCGATATACCAAAGAATTAATAAGAAATATAGTCCACTACAGATCCGACTTCTCAAATGAAAATATATTCAATTAAAACAAATTTTCATATATAAAATCAATTTAAATAATTAAGACTCAGAATTTTTATATTTAAGAATATTTAAGACAATAATTATTAAAAATTAGATATCTAATTCAGTCCCTTTAAATTCAATATCCTACATTCTCCAACCGCCCCTCTTTACCAACATACTCATTTACTCCATCCAGCCCAACAAAGTCACACTAACGTGATGGTGTGATCAGTCGAAGTGAAGTTTTCGATACGTGTCACATCACATACTTTTTATTTTCAAAATGGCCCTTGAAAGAAGGTTCTTAAATGTTATTTTACTAGGATTTGGGTTTATGTTTGTGTTTACAGCATTTCAAACAATGGGAAACATTGAGGTAAGTTGAACCATATTTTCTCTGAAAATTACATCCATAAGTGTCAGGATGAGTGGATTTTCACTGTGTTAAATTGTTCATCACACATATTCGGATGGGTATCTAAATTATACCAAAACTGTTGTCAACATTTTAAAACCATAACATTGTATGTATGATAATCTTTGGCGACAGAAGTCCATTTTGAAAGAAGAGCGTTATTGATTTACAGTTGCGCAGTGAACACGCGCTACTTTTAAATAGTAATTCACATTGATTTAATGATCTAGCGTATGTTTTCATTTTAAGTTAACAGATAAGAAGGCATATATTTCAGTCAGATGTAAAATCATTTTAACAAAGATATGCCGTTACTTCAATTAAAATTACCTATTTTTATCTTAAAACGAGAGGGTTACAGATGTCTAGACATGTAACCTTGGTTTCTTAAGCTCGCACATTCACGTTTAGGCGTTTATCCACCCAGACCACCATAGACTTATAGAATGCCTGTACCGTTTTTTATTTACCTAAGTTGTTTCCAAAAGGAATTTCGGCCTTTTGGGGGGGGGGGGGTTGTTAGAGATGGAAAATGGAATTCCCGTGCGTAAATATGTTTCGTGATTCTTGAAATAGAACACTTTCTTTCGTAATAGCTATTAGTGTCTCTAGATTTCATGTTGAAGCATTAAGCATGCACGAGAAAGGTGCAATTTAGAATGTGTCAGACTAAATCTGTTTAGCCAGTAGGTTGTACTTGTATGGAGGCAGTTAAACGAAAGCAGAACTCGGAATTTCCTCCTCTTTTACGGTAGTTATCATCCGAGATTAATTTTGAAAGAATTTAAAGCGTTCTGAGTTCGATTTCTATCGCTGCCACCAACATCTGAAATGAAAGATACGCTAATTTAAAATATTTTTTTTAAAAAAATATATATACTTCTTACTACGACGTTTTTCCTGAATTTCTTCCCATTCGCGTCTTTCCGATTAACAAAGAGACATTCAATTCGCCTAATTACGGAATTCTGTACAGTGAATTCACAAATGCAGAAAGCCTACGCATACTGTAACGGAAATTATAACTTATTTATCGTTTCTTTTACTTAAAACTGACCGGAAGTCGCGTTACGTTTGCTGTGTATTTCGGATGTCGTCGGAGACTTAATATTCCCAATAGATGTGTTCACAACATTTCTAATTTCCAATATCCCCCAGGAAAATTCCGGTATTGTGTCCTTAAATTATCCACGGCTTGTTTTATATTTTCTGAAATGAAACGTCAGGAATTTATTTCCGGCACCTCCAGTCTGATAAAAGATTGTTTAATGAACTGGAGTGTGAGTCAGATACAAGGTACTGATGAGGCTTGGACCTGGTTATAAAATAAAAAGAATATTTGACTGACTTGAATACAGCCAGCGGGGGGTAAAGGCGTATGTCATGACACACATAAATACGGAGGTAAATGTCAAGACTCGAACTAAAGTAGGTCAGCTCAAGATTGTGTGTTGATTACAGAACACTTAAATTCCGTGCCCCCTTTAATATAAAAGCATCTCTGACTGGACGCCGGCTACCCTTACAGATTTAACAATCAGCTGAAGATACAGACGTGATCAGGCCTAGTACCTAGCGCCTCGATGTGACTGACTGAAATTATTTGTCAAAATTTGATCTCTTATATTTATTTCTTGTTTCTTTAGTTTATGTAACACTACATACTGGGACAACTGTTGTGAATAATGAACTCGAAGGATGGGGAAGGCAGAGGTTAATGGCTTGTTCAAAAATTAAAATCATACCATTTTCATGACTTCAGTCAGGTTAACCTCTCTCCTGGTCGAAAGTAGAACGCAGTAGATTCTGTTTAATTGGACCATCGGTTAATTTGGGTAGCCGCTTAATTGGGACGATGTGTCCCAATTAATCGGTATCCTCTGTATCTGCCAGAGTGATTTCTCCTACATCACGGCGTCCGGCCATTTCAGGTTTAAATTGCATATTCTAACCAAGGGGACCGCTGAGGCCTGTGTGGTGAGAATCATAAGTACAGTCAATAATCATTCGGCAAAACGAGTTGTTACATTACGTCATCGGTGATAACTAACCAGAAAAATTCCCGCCCTAACACGCCAGATAACGACTGTCCTTTGACAGAATACAGTACGATACGTTCAGAAGATTCGGACGAGTAAATATGTGTGTGGACAGTGCAACTTATCTTGGTTGCAGACCATAACAGGTTTATTAACCCTATATCTTTGTTCTCTCGGGTCCCTAGCCTTTAAGTAGACCTACACCTCCTCTTCAAATTGTCTTGTGAAATGAACAGATCAATAAAGGAAATTCCCATGACCTATTTATTGTGTCCATCTCAAGGCTTTTACGGCTGGGAGTGAAGTGTACTTTATCATCGGTGAAATGATAATACACTTTCGACACCAATTTAAAGTAAACTCCTTAAGAAATGTAAGATTTGAGGTTATCTGTATTGTTAATCGTGAATACTTTGGAACCAGAACGAACAATAAGAAAATAAATGTATGATTTGAGGTTATCGCAGCGATGAGTATGAAGATTTCTGTCTTCTGGGTTGTTGCGCTGTGTAGTCTGGTCGATGTTTACCAACGTTTCAGAGGTCATACAGCCTCCGTCATCAGGGCGATGAGTATGAAGATTTCTGTCTTCTGGGTTGTTGCGCTGTGTAGTCTGGTCGATGTT